GTCCAGGAATCAGTGACAAACCTGAAGCTGCGCCGGGGCTGGATCTTCCAAAAAGACAACGACCCTAAACACTGCTCAAAATCTAAGGCATTCATGCAGAGGAAGAAGTACAACATTCTGGAATGGCCATCTCAGTCCACAGACCTGAATATTATTGAAAATCTGTGGTGTCACTTAAAGAGAGCTGTCTGTGGTTGGAAACCATCAAACCTGAATGAACTAGAGATGTTTTGTAAAGAAGAATGGTCTAAAATACCTTCAGCCACAATCCAGACTCATTAGAAGCTGTAGGAAGTGTTTAGAGGCTGTTATTTCTGTGAAAGGAGGATGTACTAAATATTGAGTTAAGGGTTGTTGTTTTTTTTTATTTGTTTGTTTTTGCTGCCCAAATTTATGCACCTGCCTAATTTTGTTTAACCAATTATTGCACACTTTCTGTAAATCATATAAACTTCATTTCACTTCTCAAATATCACTGTGTTTGTCCCCTATATGATATATTTAACTGATTTTTTTATCCAAACAATCAATGATTTTTAAAGGTAAATCAGGAAAATTAACAAGGGTGCCCAAACTTTTGCACCCCATTGCATGTGTGTGTGTGTGTGTGTGTGTGTGTGTGTGTATACTTCCACATAATTATAATAACAAACTACTAAAATGCTCAGAAAACACATACCAAAAATCACACACACTGACTGCAGATGAAGGTTGAAAGGTTGGTGATAAAACAGCAGGAAACACTGAACTTTAATTAACAAAGCTTTATTAAAAATAATTTTAGGCTCTAAAATTGGATCACAACAAACATTAATCCAATATAGACTAGTTGCAGTCAGATGGTTACACATTCACTTAAAAAAACAGTTTTGTTCAACTTTGGTGTGATTTTCTGCCTAATAGTTGGTAATAGTAGTAATGGTTTGTACCTTTATTTAGCTAGAACATCAGTCATAAAGGATGGAGAAAGTGACAAAAGTCTTTGGCCTGGCTAAGCTAAATTCATCGAATGCCAAACAATTGTTTCTCAAAAGCAACATTTGCTAGAATTTACTCTCTACACTCATACTTATCAGGGTTTCTTTAACTGGACGGGCTGATCAGGTGGCTGATACGTTCAGGTTTGGCACCATCGGTGGCTCAGCCATCTCACACACATTCTCATGGTGTCCCCAACATTTGCTTGGCAAAACAGCAGCAAACTAAACAAACTGTGTCATGCAAATAGTGGTTTAACGATAGCCTGAAAAGGATTTTCTTGGCACTTGTTTGGCTAAATGTTAGCCTAGCCTTTGCCTCTTCCTGTATGACTGACATCACAGCTGATAGACAGGTCATCACTTCCATGATGACTGGACTCTCCCTTTAAACTGGACCCAAAATGATAAAAGTTACATTCATTATAAAGGTATTTTTTAATGAAAGGGGGGTACTGTTCACTCCGAGATGACTTCTTAAAAGGCCGGGAATGAAAAAGTTTTGAAAAAGKGTTTAATAAGTGAGCATGGAAGCCCACCAACATGGTCCAGAATGACATATGCTCCTAAATGACGATAACATATGGTAATAGGTTACAAGAAAAAGAAAGGAAATATCTGATTTACTGCAGCAGTTTTTGATGAGGGKTGGGGGCTCCCATTAAAAATCCATTGAACTCCTCCACGGGCTCAAATGTTCATTCACACACTCAGTTTTGTCAGTTAGCTAAAAGATTGCATCCCAGTAAATTTGTTAACACAACAGAATCAAGTCTTTGGTTTTATTAAGTCATGAGGATTTGTTTGGTTTGAAGCTTTAATGATTGAGGCTCTAAGACTCAGGAGAACACGTGGCTGCGACTCAGCTCAGGAGGAGGCCATGATGTCTAAAACAGGCAGGTGCTGTAAACCGTCACTTTGTGGCTGATCTCCTGCAGCAGCTTCTTCACCGCCTGCTCCAGCTCCACCAGCTGCTCTGCTTTCMCCTCCAGAGTCCGCTGGTTGTCATCATAAGACTTCTCCAAATCTGGAACAGCAAAATTATTAATAGAATCACTAATAATTTTTAGCATTTATACGTGACTAAATCTGATGTCTGATTGATGACGGTGATGTCATGTCACCTTTAAGTAGCTGCAGCTTGTCACTGGCCTGCARCAGCAGCTGTTTGGCTTCATTTTGCAGTGACTCCGCCCTCTTCTTGGCATCAGCCACACCCCCTGCATTTTGACCAATCAGCTCTTCCACTGTGCTGTACTTCTGCTTCACCTCCGACTCCAGATCCTAAACAACACAATGATACAGTGACAACACTGATGAAGTCAAATTGTTCAGACAAGCTTTGTAAAATAGCTTTTAGCTACAACTGTTTAGTTTGGATAGTTCTAAACATGGGTTTGAACAGAAGCCTCAAAGCCCCAGTGAAAAAATTCTCTATTATTTTATTTTGAAAAATGTCCACTTCCTTTTGTACTGTACATGTGTAGAAGGAGTCCCGAGAGTAATTTGAGACTGTAAACTTGTGACCAGACAGCATCAGATGGTGTGTGGGATGATTGTTGTGGTGATGAAGAGGAAAAAAATAAAGTCAGAGAAGAAGACCAAATGGTGGAAGTTGAAGAAAGCAGAGTGTGAGGAATTCAGAGAGGACATGTTAAAGGCTCTGGGTAAATAATAATTAGTACATTTTATTTAAAGTGCCCTTTTTATCTTGCAATTTTGCAGGGCTACAAAGGGCTAAAAGCAGGGCAAGCAATTACAA